GCTAAACTTTGCATTTGCATTTTGTTACATTACAATTCATCTGCCATTTGAGTGCCCAGTCCCCCAGTCTATCTAAATCCCTATGTAAAAGTAATATCTTGCTGATATTGTATTACTTTACTGAGTTTTGTGTCATCTGCAAACACTGAAACGTAACTTACAATGCATTTTTCAAGATCATTTATAAACATGTTAAATAGAAGGGGTCCCAGAACAGAACCCTGAGGGACACCACTTGCCACCTCTGTCCAGCTTGAAAATTAACTATTAATGACAACTCTGTACTCTATTTGTAAGCCAATGTTCTACTCAAGTACAATAATTTTCATCTAGAGCAATTTCTTTGAGTTTGAACACTAATCTATTGTGTGGAACTGTATCAAATGACTTGGCAAAATCCAAATAGATCACATCCAGGGCCGGCCTTAGGCAATTAGGCGCCCTGTGCAAAAAGTCTTCACGGCGCCCCCCCCACCTCCCACCAAGTTGCCTGAATACAGTAACACACACAGGCACCGGGGACGTGTGTATCACGAGGCAAACAAGGCATCTGCCTTGGGCGCCACTTTGCAGGGGGCGGCAAAAAAAAGCATCCCCTCCAAACCCCCAGGCAGATCCCTTGCTTGCCTCGCATCCTGGGGGGCTCAAGAGCTGACCGGCTGGCCACTTTTGAGCCCCCCCAAGGCTGGCAGCGAAGGAGCATACTCACCTGAGCTCTTCCTGCTCAGCTTCCTCTGCACCGCTTAATGAAGCCGGGAGCCAGAATATGACGTCAGTCCGGCTCCCGGCATCACTAAGCGCTGCTTACTCAGCCTGTGCGCCCCCTACCTGCCTGCCCAGCAGCCACACTGGACTGCTGGTAAGAAATCCACTCCAGCTTTCCCAGGGAGGCTGGGGGGATTTAAAATAAATGTAAAAAATATTAGTTTGTGAGTGTTAGTGGAAATGTCTGTGTGTGTGTCTGTGAGTGTTTATTTTGAAGTGAATGTGTGTGTGTGTGTGTGTGTGTCTGTAAGTGTGTAATTGTGTGTGTCTGTAAGTGAATGTGTGTGTGTCTGTAAGTGAATGTGTGTGTGTCTGTGAGTGAATGTGTGTGTTGGTCAGTGAGTGTATATGTGTCAGTCAGTGAGTGTGTATGTGTCGTCAGTGAGTGTGTATGTGTCGTCAGTGAGTGTGTGTCGGTCAGTGAGTGTGTAAGTCAGTGAGTGTGTAAGTCAGTGAGTGTGTATGTGTCGGTCAGTGAGTGTGTGTCGGTCAGTGAGTGTGTGTCGGTCAGTGAGTGTGTGTCGGTCAGTGAGTGTGTGTATGTGTCGGTCAGTGGAGTCGTGCATCTTTCAGTGAGTGCTTGCGTCTGTCAGTGAGTGCTTGCGTCTGTCAGTGAGAGTGTGCATCTGTCAGTGTGTGTCCAAGTAATAGTGTATGTGTGTATGTCATTGTTTGTCAGTGTATATGAGAGTGTGTGTCTGTCAGTGAGTGTGCGTCTGTCAGTGAGTGAGCGTCTGTCAGTCAACAGCTACAGCGACACACACAGACAGACAGTCACATAGGCAGTCACACACACAGACAGACACACAGTAACACACACATAGACAGTTATACACACACAGGCAGGCAGTCACACAGATAGAAAGTCACACACACAGGCAGGCAGTCACACACAGACAGATAGTTACAGACAGACACACACAGGCAGGCAGTCACATACAGGCAGTCACACACACAGGCAGTCACACACACAGACAGTCACACACAGGCAGGCAGTCACACACAGAGACAGTCACACACAGAGACAGTCACACACACACACAGAGACAGACAGTCACACACACACACAAGGACAGGCAGTCACACAGACAGTCACACACACACACACACAGACAGTCACACGCACACAGGCAGGCAGTCACACAGACAGTCACACGCACACAGGCAGGCAGTCACACAGACAGTCACACACACACACAGACAGTCACACAAACAGGCAAACAGTCACACACACACACTTACCTCTTTCCAGTGGATGCAGTTGGCTGATGGTGAAGCATCTTTCCCTCTTCCTGTACAGCAGGGGCTTCGGGAGGTATTAGCCCCGTCTCCGCCTCTCGATAAGCCCCGCCTCCGCCGCTCGGTAAACCCCGCCCCCTCTGCCGCGCCGCGATTTTTTTTTTTTTAAATAGACCTGGGTGGAGAACAATTAATCCTCCAGCCAGGTACCTCTTTTAGCTCCCCTGCACTCCGGCCATGAGTGAGCTGTGTCGGCCACAGGGCGCCCCCTGTTCCATGGCGCCCTGTGCGGTCGCACAGCTCGCACACCCCTAAGGCCGGCCCTGATCACATCCACGGCAACACCCTGATCTATTCTACTTTTCTTTCAAAGAACTTTCCCACGCTGTGTAAAATGACACAGAGCACTGTGATTGGATGGATTTCAAGCCATCCAATCACAGTGCTCTGTGTCATTTTACACAGCGTGGGAAAGTTCTTTGGAATTTTCCCACGCTGTGTAAAATGACAAAGAGCACTCTGATTGCCTTAAACCCACCAATCAGAGTGTTCTTAGCCTAATTGCAGGGTGGGGCAAGGCTTTATAAGCCTTCCCTCGCCCTGCGGAGCTCAGTCTGCGCGGAGCCCTCCATCGGTGAAGATGGATTTTTTTTTTTGCGCTCTGATTTTTTTCTTTTTCGTCAGGTTTTTTTTTTGCGCTCGGGTTTTTTATTTTATTTTAAATTCGACTGGTATGATGGTTTTTTATTTGGCCTTTTTTGGGGCTGAAAAATGAAGATTTTAGAAAAAAGAAGACGTTGAAGTTTAATTTTACTTTACAGGTTAGTAATTTTATTCCCCTCCCTGGGGGGGGAGGACAGTAGGTCCCCCCCTCATTATCATTATGGCCACCACCCGCCGCCCAGGGGTGGAGGCCGGGGGGGAGGACAGTAGGTCTCCCCCCCTCATTATCACTATGGCCCCAACTCGCTGCCCAGGGGTGGGGGTTTGGGGGGGAGGACAGTAGGCCCCCCCTCATTATCACTATGGCCCCCACTCGCCGCCCAGGGGTGAGGGCCAGGGGGGAGGACAGTAGGTCCCGTCCCCCCCCTCATTATCATTATGGCCGCCACCCAGGGGTGGGGGCCGGGAGGGGAGAACAGTAGGTCCCCCCCTCATTATCATTATGGTCCCCACCCGCCGCCCAGGGGTGGGGGCCGGGGAGGAGGACAGGAGGTCCCCCCCCCCTCATTATCATTATGGCAAGATAGTAGTTTTTTGTTTTTTTTACAGTGAGCAGCCACCGGCTGCTAATTTTTTAGTGGACATGCCCCTACTAGCGGGATAGCGAGTAGGGGCATTGAGGAGATTTTAATCTCCCTTATGCTATTATGGGGGTCATATTGACCCCCATAGAGTGAGGGGGGACATGGGGGACTTATGAAGTGGCGGGGAGCACTGCTCCCTGCCGCTTCTATCTTTACATATTACAAAGAGGGAGCTGCGTGACGGTAGCTCCCTCCTTGTAATAAACTGAACGAACAAACAAACAGTGATACACAGTGTTAGTTTGTTCATCTGATTTTTCTATTTATTCATTCGTCTGTCTGTTGAATGAATGAATAGATGAAATTCCCGTTCGCATGTCCAGGTGTTTCACTGGGCATGTGCGGGAATCTCACAGTCTATCTAGTGTGGGCAGATGACGTGTCCCACAGGGACTTCATATACCCACACAAAGATTGCGGCGCCCTGAATAAAGATCGGGGCAGAAAATAAAGATTAGAAAATAGGTAATATGGGGGGCTTAGGGGCATTTGGGGATGATTAGGGGGTCAGTTAGATGTAGTGCAGGCATGAGGGGGGTTAAAAAATGGGATTCGGCATGACAGTTCCGCTTTAAGTACTCATGGATGAATACCGTCAGGCCCTGGAGCTTTGTTTATATTAAGTTCCTTTAGTTGCTGTAGCACTTTGTCTTGAGTTATCCAATTACAATTTTTCTACAAGTTTTTTTGCAGCAATCATTTGCATATCTATTGCCATAGGTTCTTCCTTAATATATATGGAGTAGAAATAGTTATTTAAAATTTCTGCCTTTTCCTTGTCTTCATTAACTAACACTACCTTGTTTTTAGTGTACCTACTCATTCCTTTTTTGGTTTTTTTGCTCTCTTTGGCTATCACTTTTTCATTTTTTTTTTTTTGTTGTGCATGTTCCTATTTATTTTAAGATTAATTTTTTTATTTTTATTTTTTTTATTTTTTTTTTTATTCTTTATTTTTATTGTGCAAGTATCAACATTCAAGCTTCATATGCCACATCAGCATTATCCAGCATAGTATAACAGATAAAGGGTATTATTAGTATGGCATCAATAGAAGTTGCACATTTTTATATTATAATGATAACAGGCGCGGAACAATAACATAACAAATGTCAGTTAGTGAGGTAAACAACCTGGTGTGGTAAGCAATCCATATTAACTGACGTATTTATAATGAGTATTGGGTAGTTTAACAAGCATGAGTGTACGTGTCTATAGTTCCTGAAGCTGTTTCAGCGCGTTTTATGGTTATGGTTCGAGAGAGCTATGGCGCAGTCTGGCGGTGTCAGTGACAGTTAAATCTGCGAATGCCTGCCTACGTGTCTACGATTAAGGATAGGTTGATACTGAGGCAGTTTGTGAGAGCATGTGTGCATCAGTTGCTCAGTGTTTGCTTTGCTCGTGTTATCTTTTGAACCAAGTAGGTTCAGCTTGATCCACTGTAGTGGAGTAAATAAAAAAAAAAAAAGAAAAAGCAAAACATAAAGGAACTCTGCATGAGAAGCGGAAAGTGCACATAGTAGCATGAGTCTTGCTAGAGGGTTTGGTCTGCATATAGGGTCTTGCCCATAAGGTCCTTTGTGATAGGTGTGGGAGTCCAGTTAACGTTTGCTGGGGAGTATGGAGAGGCAGGGTATTTTGGCGTGGTGTTGAGCCTGGTGCTTCACATGTGGATATTCCTGGTGTCCTTTAGCCGATGCCTTTCAGGGGCAAGTCAAAGTCCCATCTAGTGGAGCTAAGTAACCAGCTCTGTGATGCAAGTCCCAATAAGTGAGTGCCTTGATGGTATGTCAGACTGTGGGGGGCATTTAACCTTCCGTTGCGTATTGCCGTCTGGTTGGGGGGTCTCCCGCCTAATTTGTGGGTGCCGTTCTGCATTGACCGTTTGTATACTGCCTTCTTCCGTTGGCGGCATTGCCGCTTGATGCGGGCTACCCCAGGGCTCTGAGCTCTGCGTCTGCCGCCGGGGTTTGCGAGTGCTTGTGCAGGCAGGTAAGTCTCTAGGGGCGTCCGGATGGCCAATCCCTGGCTATGGTTACTCTTGGTGTGTCTCCACATTGTGGTCCTTTTCTGGTGTTTGACCGTCTTGGGAGCGGAGTCTAGGGGGATCCCTTTGCCCCTCTCTGCAACCTCCCTAGTCTTGCCATCGGGTGGTATCTCTGGTGTCGGGGGCCCCAGAAGTACCTCTAGCTTCTCCCACAATAATCCGAAGATGTAGTTTAGTCTGGTCTCCGTTTCTCTGGCAGCATAGCAGTAGGCTGTGGTGCTCGATTTGTCCGCCATTTTGTATGTCGTAGTCATGACCTCTGGACCTTGCGCCAGTCTCACATGGGGATAGCTTGTCCATGTGCTCGATTGGGGGTAGCCCGGGATAACCCCCACCGGGCCAAAGGGGGGGGGAACGAAGGGTCCCAGGACAGGGTTCCAGTCGATTTTTGGCTTCAGGAGAGCGGCCGTCTCTCCCGCATGCGCCATATTAGTAGGCCCTGCCAGGGTGTCGGGTGCGTACCTCTTAAGTTGTAAGTTGATTGGTGTCTGCGTGTGCACCCCGGTGTACCCTTGCACTGGGTAATCTTTGTTTGTCGTTTTGTTGTCGTTTTATTTGCTTTATCTTGCTTTTGCCGTTCCCGGTGGCCGGAGCTGCTGAGGCAAGCGTCCTCTCTGCTCTGTGGCCAGGCCCCGCCCCCTCCACTTTTTCATTTTGATGTCTAGCAAATCTAATTGCCTTTTTGCATGCATTATTGGCTTCCTTATATCTTTTATAGGATGCCTCTGATTCGTCCGATTTAAAGGCTTTGAATGCCCTTTTCTTTTTTTTAATTTCTTGATTCACTTTCCCACTACGCCACATTGGTTTCAATTTGTTTCTTTTATATTGATTGGTATATACTGAGAAATATAACATTGGGCATTTCAGACATTCGGGTACTTCCGAATGTCCGAATAGATGAATTGCCGAATTGTCGAAGTCCCGAAATTACCGAATTTCCGAAGTGTCGAAGTGCCAAAGTTCGTAAGTACTGAAGTGCCGAAATTCCGAAGTTCCGAAGTGTTGAAGTGCCGAAGTACTGCAGTGCCGAAGTTCCGAAGTTGTCGAAGTTCCCAAGTGTTGAAGTGCCGACGCACCAGTGGAAGAATGAAGAATGTTACACTGTATACAATTTTAAATAAAAAGTATACAAACATAGCCAGGATTCAGCTGTAAGCATTTGCAACACTTACAACAATCAAGTAACATACATTCATATAAAATGTAAGTTACTTAGCCAGTCAATGTAATGACAGGAATGAATAAGTAGATAATTCCCTAATTCCCACGGTATTAGGGAGCTATCTACTAAAAGGCTGAAAGACCTGAATTGGTCTTTCAGCCAAATTTACTAATACTAAGTAAAGATTACTTGGTATTAGTAAATTCTGCTCCTACTCGCTATACCGCTATTTCCCAAGTGCTCACCTACTTGAATGTTGGTCAAAAGATCAACGTTGTAGCGGGCGAAGCCTAACTGCCGAGCAAGTCAGACATGCTGTGAATCAGCTCCTGCACAAAGCAACATAAACGGGGGTAAATACCCCGAAAACGGACACGCTCACAAGCCGGAGGGCACACGACGAGTCTGAGAAACCTGGGGGCATCTAATCAAACTACAAGCGAGATTCACAATGCCCGGGAACCCGCAAAAAGCACATGTGGCCTACCTGCGACTGAGCCAGGGAGAGACGGCCGCTCTCCTCCATGGCAAAGCCACGAGCAAACCCCTTAGTGCACTCGCCTCCTTCCCACCTCCTTTGGACCAGTGGGGGTCATCTCGGTCCTCACTCGACACTTGTAGCAACCAGCTGAGACAGCATCACGAGCATGACCTTAAATCACTGAGCTGCAGCCCCTCACATGGCATTGGATGAAAGAAACTCTGTTGGGGGCCTCCTGAACTTGCTACAGAAGGACAATGTCATAATACTAGCCCCACCACGCCATAACAGTGAGAACATAGGATTTACTGGGCGACAGGACACCCAAAAGTACCTCGGAATGCAATGGCCACTAAGCTTCATACTCTGCATGTCTCTTTCACACTAGTCTAGGTAGCTTATTGCTTAATCACCCAGCACACTAATATATTTTACCACACCATCCTGTCATTACTGACTAGCATGTGTATTCTGCATTATAGACACCATAGAAAACGCAAATACAGCACTTCTTCACTAAAACATGGAGGTACCTCTGTTTAAGCGCTTTCGCAAAGGGCATAAAGGCATAGTACGTCCCTAACCGCTTACCATACCGGTATATTTGCTTTTACCAGCCGGTCTTCGCGACTGACATATGTCCCCTGCTGCGTCAGTATGTGGCGAGCGCAGCTTAGGCCTACTCAAGAAACTATACGGTTAAACTACATACAAGGTCTGATTCCTTAAACATGCTATCCTACACACCATTAGTCCTAAGCATACTTTTTACATTAGTATATGAACGTAGCCTAGTACCTCCACTACAGGTATACTTTAACAATGTAACATAGCATGTTATTATCATTCTTCTTATACCATAAAATTGTGCATTGACTGGCGTTTATCCCACTTGTTACGTATGATGAGCAGCTAGAGGATTGCCGTTGGGGTACCTCCAGCCAGTTTGTACTCATTACACGCACTGCAAAAAAGATCAACGTTGTTTGTTAGAACCAGGTCGAGACAAGCGTCCTTTCTAGTTGGTGCTTTTACAAGTTGTGACATGAAAGTGTCATTTAACAAGTTCAAAAAACGAATTCCCTTTGCTGAACTACTAGTCCCTCTATCCCAGTTTAGGTCCAGGTAATTAAAATCTCCAATAATTAACGTGTTACCCAGATTTGCAGCTTTCTCAGTATTCATCAATATTAACATTAGGTGGTTTATAACATATCCCAACCAATAATTGGTTTTCCTTCTTTTGCCCCAAGCAGATATTTACCCATAAAGATTCCACATTTTCCTCATTACACTCCACATGCTTAAGATTTGGCTTTTACTCATGGTTGACATACAAACATACCTAACCACCTTTCCTGCTTTTTCAATCTTTCCTAAATAGTGTGTACCAATTTAAGTTAACTGCCGGTGATGTGTCTCATCCTACCATGTGACACATGTGGTTATGGCTATTATGGCATATTGTTTAGTGCAGTCTACACTATTGTGCTTTGTTTTATTTCTTCCATGCTCTAACTCAAGCATGTCAAACTCGCGCCACGTGTGGCCCACACTTAATATCTTTGCAGCCCAACAAGCCGCAAATAGATGCCTACTGTTAAGGCAGAGTAGGCACCTGCTCGCCACACATTGCAAGTGCCTACTCTGCTAAAATTTACCCAGCTGGGGGGATAGGAAGCAGGCGGTAGCGAGGGAGTGCAGTCTGTTCTTTCTGCGCGCGCCCTCTGTAGTGATGCCGCGTGCTGGAATATGATGTCATTCCGCCCGGCATCACTAAACTGTGCCTGGACGAGCAGTGAGGAGCAGGAAGGGAGTCTTCCAGAGAAAAGATTCCCACTGGACACCAGGGAGAGGCTCCATACAAGCTCCCAAAGGAAGGGAGCAATCGGCAATAACTAAAATGATTTGTGAGTGTGTGCAAGAATGTGTCTGTCTGGCTGTCAGTGTGTGTCTGTGTTTTTGTCAGTGAGTGTGTGTGCGTGTTTGTCAGTGAGTGTGTGTCTCAGTGTGTGTGTGTGTGTGTCTGTCTGTCAGTTAGTGTGTGTGTCTGTCTTTCAGTGAGTGTGTGTGTGTCTCAGTGTGTATGTGTGTGTGTGTGTCTGTCAGTGAGTGTGTGTGTGTGTGTCTGTCAGTGTGTGTGTAGGTCAGTGAGTATGTCAGTCAGTGTTGTGATTGATGCGGCTGGACAGTGAAGGACATGGAGGTGCACGGAGGCATGCAACACCACATCACATTCTGACATGATGTCAACATGCTCCACCGTCATAGAGTTTCAAGGCGTAGCTGGGGGATCTACTTTGGCACAGGGCGCAGATGGCGCCATTGTGGGTTTACCAGAGGGACTCCTGAGTTGCATACTGGCAGCGTCAATGTGAGTGGAGTCTGCTTGTTGGCTAATATTGTTGTTTTTTTTTAAACAGGGACTGGGATTTAGTAGGGGGGGGGGCTCGGATTTAGTAGAGGGGGGACTGGGGTTTAGTAGAGGGGGAGCTGGGGTTTAGTAGAGGTGGATATTGGTTTTTTTATGCTGTTCTTTTCAAAATAAACCCACGTATCTATGAAAATTTCTGTTTTTGTTTTTTGCGGCCCACATAAACGTAAACCTTGTTTATTGGCCAGTGCTAGCCTTTGAGTTTGACATGCTTGCTCTAACTGAATCCATTTGAAAGAAGATTCTACTGTAATAAAACACTACTTAGGAAATACAGTGACCCGTTTACTGAAAGCTCTCTCTAATTGGCTCTATGTTTGTTGCAGTTTAGCAAATCTTCCCCGCATGAGACACTGACACGATTTTTACAAGCATTAAATGGACCTAAATATACACAAGCAAGTTACACTTACTGTATATACACATACTGTTATGTGTACACCCACAGTTACACATAAACACACACTGTTAGACACACATACAGAGTTAAAAAGGGTAGGTCAGCGCTAATAATACAATGGGTAGGCAGCAACCTTACAAAGGGTAACCCTCTCACCCTCTATGTTTAAAATGTACAAGGAGAAAGAAAGGCTGCGCCGAGATAAGAGATATTAAGAGTAAAAATACAATAAAATATAAAAGTATATATTCGAAACAAAAGTCCAATAAAATATCTGAGGTAGGGTAGACTCGGTCAGTATATTTGCTGGTAGTGTATCTTCTATGTCTCTAGTAGTCCAAATCGTCTCGTGACATGGAAGACACAAGGAGAGTGGACCAATCGTGCAGAATACTTTCTCTACGATGACTATCAGGTGCAAAAGATAGAGCCTATAACAAGAATTGACTGGGAGCTAAGATAGAGGTGCCCAGATGTTAAATAAAGAGGTATAGATTTCTACATTGAATTTTATTGTTTCCCACCACACAA